GGCGCCGCCCGCTGCCACGGGACAGCATGGCATGGGAGCTTCACCATGCGGCTCCCATAGCCAGGGCTTAACGCTCGGGTCCCCTCCAGAGCCACTTACCTTGGGCCAACGTCAGCAGACACAATGTCCCCAACAGCCAGAGCAATCAGGTATGATGGGATCGGCTGGGACATCTCAAAGACAAAGGTGTTATCGTCCCGCTTCTCCCAGCTCGTGGCGCTCATCACAGCCATGAAACCCTCAGGAACCTGGACACAGATAAAAACATTAGATCTGTAGCGTACAGAGTGGGATGTCAGCCAACCCAGCCAGGGACACCACGATGCCTAATGGCGAACACATCCCAGCACGCTGGAAGTGGCCAGGTCCACGGGCACTGCAGGTTTTGGGGTGCAGAGCAGTAACACCCCGAGCTCCAACTTGGGATCACAGCTGCATCCCTGCGACAGCATCACTGGGCACTTGCGCTCAAACACCAGCTGGGTGCAACACCGGCACACCTGGAGCTGCCGTGTGAGGTGCCAGCGAGATAAAGAAATGCTGGAGCTGCAGGTGCTGAAAGGGCAAAGGATGCAGATCCTTCAGACGCCGGCTCTCCTCCCATTTCTTACACAACAACTTGTTTTTCCCGTTCTCAAGCCAAAGTAGAACCCGTGGCCAATCCACCGGCCTGGGCTGAGCCCTGGGAGACTGATCTGGTCTCTCCTCTTCCGAATGCGGGGCGAGCCCCCACGGTGCTGCGGGGAATATGGTTTTCTTGGTACAGAGCATCACGCTGGGGCTCTATGACAGCCGAGCCCCACACTCACCCGTTGGCAGGGGGGAGACACTGCTGAAGCTTTAAAGGCAGAAATTAGAGCAAGAGGCAAAATAAATAATTCTGGCATCACCAGCTGATGCCACCACGTGCTGTCAGCGTTGGCTTGGTGTCACACCGATAAGCGGCTTCCCTCGCCCACAGCAGGCCAGCATTCTGGGGCGGCCCAGTGCCACTGCGTGACTGCCTGCACGCAAGGAGGGTATTTGGATTATTTGGTCCTGTTTTTGTACTAAATCTGGGGACCAGCGGCTGCTCCTTCCGTCTCAGAAGCCCGGCAGCCCTGGCACCACCACCAGGACTTGGTGCAGCCCAGCATCACCCCCCGCCTCCAGCTGTGTCCCCCGAAACTTGGCTCATCCCAGTCGCCCTCCTGCTGCTACACACGCCAGGAGCAGGCATCCCACTGCCCTCGGACTGCTACGGGGCAAAACCGGGGTTTTCTGTGATAATTAGAGGAATTAGTTAGACAAGTGCAGCAGCATGAGGAGAGCAGAGAGGTTTAAACGCCGAGTTGATCCCAACAGCTAGCTGATGTTTTGGTCTCAAGCACCGAATATTTTGGCCACCTCCCACTGGGAAAGAAGAGCGTGAGGCGGGGGTGGGCCTGCGCCCCGGCGTGCTCCCGGGAGCACCGCTTACCTTCACGGAGGCTGAATACGT